CCCGGAGCCGGTCCCCGACGGGAATAATGTCGCGCTCTCGTTTCAGACGGGCGGCTGTCGGGACAGGACCCCGCCATGGGACGATGGCCTGCAGTAGAAGCACACTGAGCGCGGAAGAAGGTATTTGCCTCGATTTACTGGTGGTGACTGGTGCGAGAAAATGGCCTCTGCCCAGGCGTCCTCGAGTGTGGAGCAGTAGCTCGGCGTGGGGGCGGGGAGGGACAGTGGCTCGACTTGCACTAGGGTTCCACTTCCGACCCCGGGCGGTATAAAGAGCCCGCTAATGCCACCCCTGCCACAGCCGAGGGGACACGTACCGAGGCTTGTGGGCAGCTTCCGTGTCCCTGCATTCGTTCTGGTCCCCACGAGCCTACATGAGAGCAGGCGCTCCTCCTGCCAACCCAATCATTGGGTCATCCAGCCTTTATTCCTCCAAACTCAGCCCCGACTTGAACACGACCATGGGAAGGTGGACTTACAAGACGGTGGGAATTCTCCATGCCCGTTTGAAAGCCCCCTAGTACTAGAAATTGTCGAGGAATAGTTGTTTTCTCCTCTTTATACAACACACTGCAAGAGCTGTCTTACAGAATAGGCATTGGCCCTACTACCCTGGCACATTCTAATTTAGAATTGGGGATGAGAGGTGGCCATCTTTTTAAAAATTACCTCATAATTTCTGCTTGCGATCCATTGCCTTAGTGACTGCATTATGTTCCAGAAAAATTCCAAAATACTCACGGGAAATACACTTTTCTGTGTGGCCATGGTGGTGTCCTACTAGCTTAAAAAAATGGGCTTTTGAGGGTTTCAGAGAATTTATGGAAAAATCCCTTAATCTTTTCATTTCGTTTTTCTGTGAGCTTTTCGAAGTTCACTTGTGTTTTTACCTCAAAGGGCAATGAAGAGGGGTGGTAATATTACACTCAGGTGCTTCGTGTTGAGAACCATACCTTTGCTGGCCATAAATATAAATCACGTCCTCCCAATAGCCAATTGGCTTATGAAGAATGTGAATAATGAAAACCTGAAAAGGGGGGGGTGGGGCGTTCCCATTAAATAGCCAGGCATTTGAAACTTCAAGGAGGACTTTTTCACTCAGTTAACTAGTCTTAAGAAGTTAACAAAAATGAGGTACCATGTTTTTAGGTAAATAATATACACACCAGATGGTTGTGTGTGTGTCGTCCCCCGCCCAAACTGGGCAACCTCCTCACAAACTTGCTTCTTTAGAGCTTTAATTTCAAGTTATCTTGAAAGTCTACACAAAACGCATTATCTCAGAAAAGAACCACCTACCAGTGTACATAAATAAGGACAGCCAGCCTTACTTGCCAGTGTTTCCATTACCATTTAGCTTCAACCTAACAACCCCTTGCTGAACTGATAATTAAAAGATGGCAAGCCATGTACAATAGAGATGTGGTTTTGTTGTTAATTGGGTTGAAAATCTGATCTTTCTCTCCAGTTCAGCTATTTTCACACACAGTTTAGCCTAACAGTCTTCTTCTGTTTTCTCATGGAATTTCTCCAAGGAAGACTTTGAAAAATATTTTTCAGTTGAGATTGCAGTTTTTCCCTTTCAGTGGTATCTTTTTTTAATTTATTTTTTTAATCGTTTTATTAGGGGTTCATACAACTCCTATCACAATCCATACATACATCAATTGTGTAAAGCACATTTGTACATTCATTGCCCTCATTATTCTCAAAACATTTCCTCTCCACTTA